GAGAGCGGCTCGTGGAAGACTGGTACACGTTGTAGGGGTGGCGAATCTGCGGGACGAAGACGAAGGCAAAGAGAGAGAAAGACGCGGAGAGGGTAGTTTCGAGGGCGCGCGCGCTCGCTGCTCCGATTTATGCGCCCGTTACCGAGCCCTCTGGCGCAATTAAGCTCGCGTTATAATATTGTTGTTTATTCTGAGCCTCGGCTGCGAAGCGTTAACCACCCCTCCTCTCCCTGCCCGCGTTCGCTGTACCGGCAACAACCAACCCTACGATCCCCTAATCTCCCTGACGCGGCAGCTAGAATCTCTCGCTCTATCCCATTTCCTTCCCCTGTTTCTACCCTTCCCTCTTCTCTCTCTCTCTCCCTCTCTCTCTCTGTCTCTATCGTGTTCGTACGTTTCTCTCTTCCGCAACTTTGCTCGCTCACCACCCTCCAGCTTTTCTCTCTTTTACTCTCGCCAACTTACAGCATCAGCGCCAAACGCGAGACCAACAAACCACTCCCCGGTGGTCGTTGGAGACGAAATTCCGTTTTGTTTGCCGGCGTAGGGTCGCCTTTGATTGGGATTCGCGCGTTAATTTCAACTTATTTTGACGCGCGGTCACGTACGCGCTAATGAAGCTGACTTTTTCGCTCGTCGAGAATCCGACGTTTGCTCGTACGATCGTTTGTCCCGATTTGCGTTCCCGTTTCTGCCAAATCCAACCGATACGCCGCCACTCCGAGATCGAACTCGTTTGCCGCGGTATTTTCGACCAAACAGATTTATCGACGAAACGGTTGAAAGGCTCCAGGATTTCTACTCCCGTCAAATCTCTTCGCGAACCAATCGAATAATGGCTCCGTAGATTTATCCTCTTGTTTACATAAATTTAAGGAATCTATAATTAAAGGCGCGATCCGTCTTACGAGTTTTTATCTCGGTCGAAATCGGACAATTTATAGCGTTTAAATAACGCGTGAATCATTCGTTAAACCGGTTTCGGACTCGAGGCCGGTAACGACGTCGACGATACGAGCCGTGGACGAAATTCGTTTTGTCCGAAATCGACGTTGACTCAACGACGCGACATCGCGACATCCGAAGAAACGCGTCGAGAAGCGATGTTCGCGTCTCGATACGCGAAACGTACAACCGTTTACGAGAACAATCCTGTTCGAAGGCAATAACGTGTATCGGGGGCAACCATCTCGCGAGTCCGTTACGTTTCGACGCGATGCGCGTATAGGTTAGGCGATACTCGCGTACGGTCGGTTGTCCTCGCGTCGGAAAGACGAAAAAGTTGCAACAACGAAATCTCGATGGAATCTAACGAGCGGAGGAAGGCGATCACGATGACTCCGCATCGAGAGGGTACTTGGCCATGATCAAGATCGGACTCCGAGAAAGACGAATAGAGAAAAAAAAGAAAGGCGTGGAGGCAAAGAAAGAGAGAGCGAGATAGACGCAGGTGCAACCTGCACCGGTGCGGGACGAACTTACAGACGTACAGACGTACGAACGGACGAAGGTGGGATTGAGTTATGACAGCGTTTGCTCCAGGGGGCCGGCTCTGGACCCGGCGAAGCAGATATTCTTCTTATTCTTTATTTCTTCGTCTGCGGCCCCGCCGTAGAAACCGTCGGCCATGCATCACCTTCGGTTCACTTTGGTCCAGCCTCCTCTTCGGCATCGTTCCACGGCCACACCACCATCACGGCCCATCACGATCCCACCTTAGCCATCGTTCGCTGGAAACGCTGATTCCACCCACCGTGGCAGTTCGTACTCGAGCCCGAGGCTCGAGAGAGTATTTACCTTTTTAACCGTTTCCGCTCGAGTCAAGAATCCCCGTTCGAGTTTGCTGTCGCGTTCGCCTCATCGACCTCGACGGTCGCTAGACGAAACCGCGAACCACGAGCTGTCCCTCGTCCAAAAACTGTTCGACGAAAATAACCTCGCCGAGAATTTCGATACGGACCTCGGTGTTCTCCCGGCGAGTCAGAAAAAGTATTGGTAAAATCACGGGTTAGCTCTTTCGGGAACGACGTCTAACCGGGGGAATAGGTCGGTGACAGAGTCGAAGAAAGAGCGAGGCGAAGTCTCGTATAAATCATTGGCGGTAATAAAGATCCACTTGTCGTGGCTCGATATTTATGAATCGCCCTCGGTTCTCCTCCGCAACAGAAGAGAATCGGCCGTTAGCTCTCGTGGCTAGTCGGAATGAACGATCGTCCGTCCGATTTCGAGATAATCGAAGAGGTCAGGGGCGGAGGGGACTAGGCCGCGGAAGACTTGGCACGAACGGCAGGAAAGATGTCGGCGAACGAAGGTGCGAAGAGAAGAGAACTCGAGACAGGATAAGACGAGACGAGTCGAGACGAGACGAAACGAAAGGAGAAAATCGTGGAAGGGGAAATAGGGAGGAGAAAGAGACGAAGAAGATACAGAAGGATAAGGAGGAGGAGAAGAAGTCCGAGTCGACGTTCGTTGTAGAGGCCGCAGACCGACAGACCGAGCGAAGGACCGCGAGGCCATAAATACCTCAGCGCGTTCAGCCAATTAAAACAAATCATTTTAATGCGCAACCTTTTTAATTAATGCCCGTGCTCGCTCACTCTCATCCGCTTCCCTCCTCCCGGATAGTACACGATCGCTTCACCGGCTCCGCCATTCCCATCCCAGAACGATCGAGGCTATATTAACCTGTACGTCGCCGTATCCTGTCTGACTTTGCCTTCGCGAACGAACGCGTACCCTTCTTCGTTCGTTTCGCGATCGATTCGTAACTGCCTAGCTTAGATCGTTTTCGCGAATCGCGACATATCGCGAGCGTTATTGACGAGTAGAAGGACGATCGTATCGACGCGGATTAGACTTTTAAATGACCTCGAGTCGGGCCGGCACATATTTCACGAGATGACGCTGGACGTCGCGCTAAATCATCCGGAGTGACCGCATCCGCTTACCCAATCGAGCCGAGACTCTTCTTAACGGCCTCTTGTCACGCCTGCGACATTCCACCGAAACACACACGCCGAGAACGTTTCTTCTTCTTCGTCTTCTTCTGCTCTATCCGCGTCTTCGTCCCTCTTTCGTCAACGTCGTTGCCGCGAGACGCGCTTTTGTCGGCCACCATATTAATATTGTTCTATCGGAATTCCAATCCCCCGGAATGGCTCGGCAACACGAGATTTCCCAATGCCATAATTCACCGAGCGTCACGTTCGTCGTTGTCGTCTCGACACCGGCACGGCGCGGCGTACCTATTTCCGATAGATTTTTAGGCAAATTAACGCTCTGGTCGTCGACTACGTGTCAGATCGGATCGATGTCTCGAATCGTTTCGTCGCGACGCGAGTGTCTCTAGTTAGAGCGTAGGATGTAGGTAGAGGCATCGTCGCTCGACCGAGAAGTCGAGGGAGAACCGCGATCGCGTATTAATGTCTTTTTTATCGAAACTCGAATCCAGCGGAAAACCGTTGTCGCTGAATACCTCGGGATGTTATAATTCAAGAGAATTACGCGGCGCATATACCATGCTCGGACATCGCGCGTCACGACCATATCGTCGTTAGCGCTTGCTCTTTTTCGTCGACTCGCTGGAACGCTGAACCGGCCAGGTTTCTTTGCGAAAAAAGCCGAAGAGGGAAGACGCTTTTCTCGCGGGAACGATCGCTCGGTTCGCCTCGATTTCGGTTCACGCGTGCCGGTAGCCGGTTTACGCTGAAAAAGTGTACGGAGACGGAGCGCGAGCAGCGCGGGGGAAGAGTAGCGAAGTAGCCGGTGGTGGGTGCACGATACGAGACTAGCGGGTGACACGGGAACGCGGTTGCAGGGACTACTCGAATGCAGGTGTAAGAAAGGTACGTCCTAAGCTCGTGCGAGGGCGTGTATACTCTGACATTGTAAAAGTTGCCGTTACACTTGCGTAGCCAATTGGGTAGGCCGAGGCTCCCTCTAGGACGGCCCAGATCTCGTAGCCTCTTCTGCTCTTGGCGTTCCTTCTTTCTGTCCCTTGCTTCGTCCTTATTTCTTTTCTCTTCTCTTCTTTACGCTTCGTTTCGCTTCCATGCTCCGCTCTTTCTCCTTTTACCTCTTTCCCTTTCTGTTGCTTCGATTTTCTTTCTCGATTCCCTGTCCTTCGTTGTTGCTCGACTTGTATAGCGTTCGATCCGTTGCGGGCTCGCGGAGTTCGCTGCCGGTATCGTCGAGCTGCCATCTCGAAAAATCCGTGTCCTTCGTTCTGCTACCGCGGTAGGTTTCCCTCACGGTGACCAGGTTCGTTCGCAAAGATCTCGAGACAGGAGCGGGAGATACGCGCGCGAAGATCGTGGCTACCACGTTCGGAAATTTGCTGCCGATTTCGATAAGATCGACGAGCTTTCGCTTACTTTTGTACGTCTCGAAGAATGCCGCTATTAGCGAGGAGGTTGCCGGGACTGTTTCGCGCTCTTCTCCTTCTGCTTCTTCTTCTTCTTCTTCTTCTTCTGCTCGTTTCCGCGTGCCGATGACGTCGAGAAAAGGATAACGCGAGGCGCAAAAAATTCGCGAACGAGCAGAGACACAGGAGTAAGGAGAAGGACGCGCGACGCAAAGTTGGTCGACGAGCTGGCAGTAAGTTCAGTAACCGTATAGATCGTCACCTCTTGACAGAAAGTATTTCAAGCGCAGCTCTTCTGTGCGCTCGCCGGCAGGTTGATGTAGGATGCAACAGCTGCGATCGGATCGTACGGCGTGCGAACAGTCGATGGTCACACGCGTACCGTGCATTCGTCGGACCATTGTGCTGTCTTATTACGCGCTGAATTTAACGAAAACGCGTCCCTTTAACTGGCCAAATCGTTATTCTCGGTGCACTCGCGACTACCGGTATTCGAAAAATTATTAGCGTTTCGCGAAATATTTTCAGGATATAACCGAACGCGTGGCACGCGATACCGAGGATCCCTTTGTTCGTTCCAGTTAACCTACTGTCTGCGCGATGCTCGTTCATCGTTTATTTTTTTTCCGTCTTTCAGACACGCTCTCCGACAGCACATGTTACGGCACGCAGGGAAAAAGTACAAGTGTGGACTTCCGGGCTGTCCGACGGTGCTTCGAACAGCCTCCGAATTGAGATCGCACAGAAACTTGGTGCACCACAGCACGCCGTCCGACAGGCGATACAAGTGCTCGGACTGCTGTTACGCGGCTAAAACGAACACACAGTTGCGTAGGTGGGTATCGGTATCTTCGTTTCTCTCGGCGACTAAAACAATGCGAAACGAACGTCCTTGGAACGATTCGATTCCGCGCAGGATTTCGTACGCTCGCGTCGCTTCTCGTCGCTTCTCGTCGCTTCTCGTCGGCAAGAAACGGATTCTGCCGCTACCGCTTTGGTTGACGTTAATTTTAACGAAGATTCCCGTCGGGAACCTACGCCGCGTTAATTGCACTCGCGGTTCGCGTAACGTGCGCGATACATGATCGATGCGTTCGAGGAAGCAGAGAACTAATTGCATCGAGTCGAGGTACTCCGTGCAAAGATAGACGCGCGTGCTAGTGCGTGTATCGCCGATGAAAAATCTCGAGTAAGTATCTCCGACACGATTTGTTTCGTCTCGGTTATAAATCTCTGCTCGTAATTAATGGAAACGCGTTTACGCGATTTCTCCGCGGATCCCTTCGAGCAACGATCGCGGTCAGAGATCGATCGTCTTATCCGCGGAATCGATTGATTCTTAATCGTCCGCGGAGACACGAATACCGGGAACCGTGCGACTCGCGTTTATCGTAGGTCGCGCGCGGGCGCGCGCGAAAACGAGCGATTCGGTTTAAACGAAGTCTTATCGAAGGTATTGTATCGCGGACCACCGCTAATAAATTTCGTCTCGTTTCGTTCGCTACTTTTCTCCGTCCCTCCCTCTTTCGCTTTTTCCCATTTCGTGCCGTGAGTAATCAAACGAGCTGAAAGAAGAGAGACGCGAGAAGAGTAACCGAACGAAAGAGACATAACCGAACCGTGCGGCGGAGAGACGGAGGATAAAAGGGGAACAGAGAGCGAACCACGAAAGCGGAAGTTGCGTGCAGCAGTCGGCCAAGTGCGGGCAACCCGTTATGATCGTCCGCATGGCGATGGTCGGCGCGATATTTCATCGCGAATTGAGTACTTACTACGCGAGCCGAACTCAACGCAGCCACGGAGTGTCACGGGCTCTTTTCCACCTCCGCCTTCTCCACACCGCGTCCCTCTGTCTCTTCTCCCGACTTTTCTCTTATTCTCTTCCTCGCGTTTCTCTCTCCATCCACCGCTGCCTCCTCCTCCTAACTCGCTCTACCCTTTTAACGCTTTACTCGTTTCTCCTTCGTTCTCTTTTTCGTTGATCCCCTCTACCGCGCGTCACCTTCCTCTCTTTCTTTCTCCGTTCTCGACACGCGGCTGTCTCTGTCCGTCTCTTTCGGTTTCGCTCTGTGCGGCGGAGTAAATCACACGGGATTTTAATTAAACGTGTCACGCATTTCGAAGCTGATATACACGTAGCCATGGCCAGTGGCTCCCTCGTAATATCGTGCACGCATATCGTATCGTTGATGATCACTAGGTTCGCCGCGGCGTGCCATACCGCGCCATGCCGCGACGATGAAGTTACCGGAAAGACACCCTCCGTCACTTTTACCTCTCGAGCTGTTTCCTTTCCTAGAGGAAGATATTTCTTAATAATCTCTACTTGTCGGATTAACGTTTCGGATTCGAATCGTTATCTAAAGACGCGATTCGTTCGTTACAGGCATCGCTCTCGGCACGAGGATTCTGCGAGCGCCATGAAATCGGAGCTGCGTACCTGTCCGTACTCCGGTTGCGCTTTTAAGACGAAAATCGCATCTCGTCTGCAACGACACGTACGATTACACACGGGCACGAAGCCGTACAAATGCCGTCATTGCGCTTACGCGAGCAACAACTTGGTAAGTTCGATTGCGGTCGAGCAAAGCGACGAGATCAAAAGAGTCGACGCGTAATCGCGAAACGTTCGTTCGGTGGATTTCGAACGGAGCGATCGAGCGTTCCGGTTATCCGACGTTTCGCGTTTCGTTTTTTCCACGAAAATTTGACGCGCTGTTCGATAAACGAACAAACTTCTCGAACGGCCGAAAAGAGAAGATCGGTCTTACGTTCCAATGTACGGTGGTGCAAGCGGTAAGAGCGGAGGTTGACTCGCGGTTCAATTTTTGTAGCCTGTGTGGCGTAAATTAAGCAAAGTACACCTTAACGTTTGGACCATGCCGCCGCTTCTGCCGCCACCGAGACGCGATAAGATAACGAGTTAATTGTGCTCACTGGATGCCCACACACGCACGGCCCAGTCATACCGAGCGGCCGGTATGCTAATGCCCTTTGAAGCTTTAGTTAGGATGCGACTCGCATACGAGGGCTCCGTGTCTCTTTGATAGCGACATAAACTCATTCCAGTGGCTCTCAGCCCGGGATAACTCGGGCCAAGGTAATCTCGCGGTACGGAGAATTGCGAATGTTACGTCTTGCATCGGTAATGATACAACGGTAAGCACTTTTCAACTGTACCGAGCAGTAGCTACGATACGAGAAACCTCCTACCTTGCGCGTACTCGTTTTAATCGTTCTTCTTTTTCGCTTCCTTTTGGCGAGCTCGACCGAACGATTGGCCGAGATAACGATTACGATCGCAAATTCGGCGCCCGATAAAAATACCCTACTCGGGTGCGCGACACTGAGTTACGACGGCGTAATCGTATCTCAAGGACGAGGAAAGTCCGTTGGTCAAGGGTAAGTCGACCGTCGGCAGATAGGATCGTTTAAGTACCAACAGAATATCGAGTTTTACTCGGAAAGACTTTAATAAGGAAGGTACGGGAGATCGGTGCGCGAAACGATTTAACGACGAAATTCTCTCGCACGTAGCGAACGGCTTGCTTCGCGTCAACGAGATTACGCGCGCCACTTTTCCACCTTCCTTCCTTCCTTCCTTCCTTCCTTCCTTCCTTCCTTCCTTCCTTCCTTCCTTCCTTCCTTCCTTCCTTCCTTCCTTCCTTCCTTCCTTCCTTCCTTCCTTCCTTCCTTCCTTCCTTCCTTCCTTCCTTCCTTCCTTCCTTCCTTCCTTCCTTCCTTCCTTCCTTCCTTCCTTCCTTCCTTCCTTCCTTCCTTCCTTCCTTCCTTCCTTCCTTCCTTCCTTCCTTCCTTCCTTCCTTCCTTCCTTCCTTCCTTCCTTCCTTCCTTCCTTCCTTCCTTCCTTCCTTCCTTCCTTCCTTCCTTCCTTCCTTCCTTCCTTCCTTCCTTCCTTCCTTCCTTCCTTCCTTCCTTCCTTCCTTCCTTCCTTCCTTCCTTACATCCAGTTTATGATTAACCACCAACGGTTACTCGCTCTTTTTTACTGTTCTTATCCATGATCCATTTCGTGTTTGTTTTTCCGCACGCATCTGCCTTTTCCTTCTGTTTCTTTATACCCGTTGGCTCTCGTTGCCGGTCGGAGAACTTACGGTTCGGTTGCTTCGGGTGCTGTAGCTGCTGGCTGTGGCGGTGAAAAGGCGCTGTTAATTCTCCGAAGCAACCCCGGTTACTTTCGGATCTGCTTCTCGTTTCTACGCATCCTTTCCCTGGCCGTTACAACTTTTTATCTCCGAGTTACCTATTTTTCCATTGGACCAGACGGTTTCCTCCGCGCGTGAAAATTTCTCTTGAAAAATGGAAACGCTCGTCCGTTCGATAATCCGTCGATAAAATCTCGATTCGAAATAAAAATAGCGATCGTAAGCGCTTCTAGTTTTACCGTCCGCTTCGATCGGTGGCCGAGCAACAGAACATCAGACTTATTGCCGTGTTCGATAATTTTCCTACGGGCGTACGCGTTACGAGAACGTTCGCGTTCGAGTTACGGTACGGTAGTCTACGGATAGAGAGAAATTAATATGAACCCGGAGCTGCAGGAATCTCGAAAGAAATAAAGAAGAAAGAAGATAAAGCGGCACGATTTGAAATCTTCGAACGAAGGCCTCGTAAAACGATATGTTCTACGAGCGGTAGCGTACATACGGTAGCGTAATATAGTTCCGATGTAACAGAAAATTATATCCAAAGAAGAAATCGGAATCGATCGGATTAATCGAAGGTGCATGCGAGCGATTCGCGTGACGATGCGCGCTTTCCGCGATCGGAGCGTTCCGCGTAAAGGTGGACGACCGCCCATCACGGTGTGAACGGGTCTTTATCCGAGACCGTCACGGAGCACTGGCCGTGCAGAAAGATTTACTTATGGGAAATTAAATTTGATGTTGCCGTTGCCATCAACGGCTCGTATAAGCCCGCCTGGTAGGAAGATGTTTACGACTACGGCCGGCTACTTAGCCCGAAGAGGGTAAAGCGCCTTTAAATGCTCCATGGCGTAGCCAATGAACGCGGCCGGTTTGCGGCAGACCGATTCTGCTCGCAGGTATTCACCGTGGACCGATACGAACGACCGTTTCGACGCTACTTGCTTCGACTTTGTTTCGACTAACGAGTCGATCTTCTCCGCGTCGACCGAACTGTTCGCGCCTTTAATCCGTTCGTTTGATCGTTGCAGGAAAATCTGCGAAAACACGTGCTCTCTACAAGTCTACATCCAGGCAAGACCATCTACGAGTGCGACGCGTGCAAGGGAGAAAACGTCGAACCGTTTCGGACGAATTTCGTGAAAGAGTTACGGGCTCATCTGCAGGAGGCGCACAACGACGATTTTCCGACGCCCGGTCACGCGAACGACTACGTTCTACGGATTTTCGAGACCCGTCGAGGTTCCGGTTCCAACGACGAATCGACTTAACTCGTCCGACCGTTTCTCCCGCCATAACGCTATACGCGCGTGTACCTCGTAAGTCCGAACCGCGAGCAACGTCTGCCGGTCGAAGAACAGGAATTTACGAAGCGTGTAACTCTTAAAATCGTCGACGGACGACGCGCAGCGTTTCGATCGGAAGAGTAACGGCGTCTCTCGAATATATCGTACGGATCGCTGTTCATGAATTATCGCCGATGCATCCAGTCACGGACATAGCGCACGGACTCGCGTTAGTTGTACAGGTCGCGCCGCGACTCGTCCGCGGTCGCGCGAACCGGTACACCCGTACTACGCCAGGAAATAGTTAAACTGATGTACGGTCACGTGGCACGTTACCGCGTATACGATCGAATCTTTATGCTCGAGAACGTCGAGAACGCGACGCAACGAGGTACCGCGGATTATTGCTCGATACTTGTGCGCGGCGTCGTCGCCGAAGAAAAAGTTTGCCGAAAACCGTTCGCGCGCGTACGTTCACGAGTAATTCGTATGATCAGAAAGTCGGTGGATCGCCGCATCGTCCACGATGTCTTTGTACTCTATCGACGTCTCCGAACGAACGAACAAATAAAGTAGCGTTAATCCGTTCGAGTGTATTTTCCTATCCTTCGTTTCCCGTTACTCGACGCGATATCGGAAACGCGGACAAGCAAGGGCAGGGGATGGCAAAGAAGCGGAGGAAACGGAGGGGCGAGGAGGACGGGGTCGAAACGGTCGTTGAAAAATTCATCGTGGCTGAAAGCCAGCGGCGGACCACCTCGTGGATCGTCTTACAAGACGCGTTTCCGTCTTCGAGGGTCCTGATTGTGAGAAATGCATCGTGCTGTCGCGCGAGATAGGTGTCGTAAAGTATGCGGCCCTTGAGTTCTCTCGGGCAAAAAGGACGAGAACGAGCAGGGAAGACGGAGAGCGTAAAGAAAGGGAGAGAGAGAGAGAGAGATCACGGGCGTCGTGAGCGCGAAGGATAATTTATTGACTAATTAACGAGGATGTCCTTCATTACGGGTCGAGCAGCAGTCGTGGTCGCTTGCTCTCGCTCGGAACCGGCATTATTTGGCGCCCGAATATTTACGACCGCGTCCTCCTTCTGCTCGTGGACCGGGCCCTCCGCCCCGATACCGATGCCGATGCTGATGCCGATGCCGATGCCGATGCCGATGCCGATCCCGATGCCGATGTTGCTCCTGCTGCTGTCCCTGCTCGAGAAACAAACCTTAAGGGAGACGAAGACGAAGACCGAGAAGAGGTAAGAGCGCGCGGACCCATAACGACGTGTCCCGATCTTGCGGCGATTCGGGGACTCGGAATTTCCTTGGCCGAGGGGAATCCTACGGCCTACTCCGACACGACCACGAAATTCGCGTGCGTTACTCTTCGAACAAAGGGTCGAGTTTAAATCTTACGAAGCTCTCGCGACGCAGGTTTTCGTGGCATCTCGTCTCGTCGAATCGCGAAACTCGAAATGATAGATACCACGATCGTCGAATAATAATCGGACGACGATCCGTAAAAAATCGGATCAGGATCGGAAGGTAGTTTGAGAAAGAAAGTCGGCGATGCGCGGCTCTTCGAGCGCGTTTATTGCCAGTTTATCACGGGAAACAAGGAAACCGATACGCAGAAAGAAAACGTAACGCGAAATTAGTGTGAACTGCAAAGTGCTAAGAAGTCGCGACAGGATGGTTAGGTACACCGCTTAATGAAGATATAACGAGCCTGGCGCCCCGTGGGGTTGGCACGACGACGTCGGCACCGAGACGCCCCCCACCTTCATTCCCCAACGCGTCCTCGTCGTTTCTGCGGCAGCCCCTTCTCGCAACGAGTCTGCTGCGGGCCTCGGGTTACGCCAGAACACTCGTCCTCTTTACGATCGTGGCTGGGCATCGTGGCTCGCGAAATTCCGCTGACTTTATTCCCCTAATTACACTCGGGAACTTATGTCACTGCCAGCAAGATTCCTTCTCGCGCGATGCCGCTCCACCGCGTCATTTATTTAGACAGTTAATAACGTTCAACGAGCAAAGCGTTAAGAGCGACGTAACCGGACCGATAATTATCGAATGATCCGCGCGCCCTCGATCCCATCCGACGCGACGCTACGACCCGAAACCTGACACTCGTCTTATCCTTTTCGTCCAGCGGGACAATTTTCGGTATAGAACGATCGCGTCGCCTTATCTCGTTCAAAGAAAAACGCTATAAATTAGGTCGTACGACTTCGATTTCGAAGGCAGTTTGGTTAATCGCGAGGTGATTGATCGCGCCGAGGTTTATCCAGATGAATCCACGCAATACTTTCTACCGTGACAGCGGAGTTCTCGCGTACGGCACGGTCGGTTCGCGGCTTTAGCCTCGGTTTCGCTTTGCTTCTCTTCCCTTCGCCTTCTCCTTTTCTCCTTTTCTCCTTTTCTCCTTTTCTCCTTTTCTCCTTTTTTTCTTCTCGTTCGTCCATCCGCAACCGAAGGAACGAAACCTGGACCTTCTGCCCATTACGATATTCAGTGTCCCGAAGTTGGCGAGAATCGCTGGAATTCCACGCCGCTGAACGGCGTAGAGAACGAAGAATCGAAACGGAATGGGCCGAGGGCGGGCGATATATTTTCCCTCGGTGGCTCGGACACGGCCTCGCGTGTCTACACGCGTGAGCTCGATGTCACGTTGCGAGGAGACAGCGGGTGTCGGTTCGTACACGCACAAGCGCCGAAACGCCGTCTTAATTATCGACCGCGATTATTTATGTCGCGTCGAATCGTCGCACCGTCGTACCGTCGCGACGCGTCGTACCGAGCGGCGTCCGTTCGGCAAACTCGATCGTTCTCCGTCGTCGAAAGATTCTCGTCGGCTCTCTTTTGACCGCGAAATTTGCGAACGACGCTGCTCGAGACGGTGGATCGTGCCAATTAATACCACCGAGAAGCCGTATCGCGTGGAAGAGCCGCATGGTCTCGGAGACACAGAGATACCGCGTAGAGAAGACAGGAGAGGATAGGAGGAGGCGAGTTGCCAGGACTGGAAAAGGGGACCCACGGGGATTGATGGCCACCACCTTTAATGCCGTTTGTATGTAGCGGCGCGCGTAAGCGCCTCGCCTTACAGTAATTAGCTCAACAAACGCGCCACCCTGTCCCATCAATTGCTACCCTACGCTTTCGGTTCTCTCGCCCTCTCCCCTCGCCCCTTTCACTCTCTCTCTCTCTCTCTTTTGCTGCCCCCTTTCCTTCCTATGCGTCTCCCTCTGTCCCTTTTTCTCGTTTGCTCGAACTCGCTTGTACGCACGCAACTTCTGTATCTCTGCTCCCTTAGCCCGTGCTAGAGTATCTCTCCCCTCTCCGTTTCACGGGCTCAACACTCTCACGTATCTTGAATTAAACATTCGATGCCTCCTGTCTTGTCGGCGTGCGCGCACCTCTTGCGTCGGGAATGCAAATGCAGAAACGTGGCCGATTCGCGTGTGCGTGCTTACACGTACGATCGAACACGCGTGTAACCGACTGGTCAAGAAGGGGAACGGGTGTTATCCTCGAGCGACGAATTAAAGGATATGCCGAAACCCGATTGAAAAACCACGATGCGCGCATTCGTGCGTGTATACCAGCCTCTTCTTTCCTCTTTCTTTTTCTCTCTCCGTATCTCGATTTCCTCCTTTCTCCGCTTTGACCGGCCGAAATTTCTGCTGCTTTCGGAGGCGTCGTCGTTTCTCGGGGATTTAAAGGCACGTGCGCGCTACACCGAAACCTTTCATCGGCAAGATTGCTCTTCTTATTGCAAGAGGTTCGAACGCGCATAAATTTCTCGGCATAATCTCGTAGCGGTGAACCCAAATGACGGACGGCGCACGAAAGACGCAGGAGAAGAAGCGGCGGTGTATGGTCTGGTCAGTCCGTTCGCGGAGCGGGAGCAATTATTGCAAGCCGGTAGGATGCGACATCGCGCGCGTGTTTGCACGTAATGTACGTCCTGTGACGCGAGGCCGCATCGACGTCACCTACGCGACGACCCCTCCGAGAAACAGCGAGCCATATTGCGCACGGTCTTGATATTTACGATTGAAACAAATCAAACGTTATCAAGCATTCCGGGCTGGTGATAAAGAACACAGAGGGGACGCGGAGGCATTTGCTGCTCCCAAGGGAGATGTCATCGGAAAATCTTCCTCCTGGCATCCCCAGTTAACGCGCCATCATATTTGCTCTGTATCCTATCGATCTTGCGATCGTGCCAATTAATACCACCGAGAAGCCGTATCGCGTGGAAGAGCCGCATGGTCTCGGAGACACAGAGATACCGCGTAGAGAAGACAGGAGAGGATAGGAGGAGGCGAGTTGCCAGGACTGGAAAAGGGGACCCACGGGGATTGATGGCCACCACCTTTAATGCCGTTTGTATGTAGCGGCGCGCGTAAGCGCCTCGCCTTACAGTAATTAGCTCAACAAACGCGCCACCCTGTCCCATCAATTGCTACCCTACGCTTTCGGTTCTCTCGCCCTCTCCCCTCGCCCCTTTCACTCTCTCTCTCTCTCTCTCTTTTGCTGCCCCCTTTCCTTCCTATGCGTCTCCCTCTGTCCCTTTTTCTCGTTTGCTCGAACTCGCTTGTACGCACGCAACTTCTGTATCTCTGCTCCCTTAGCCCGTGCTAGAGTATCTCTCCCCTCTCCGTTTCACGGGCTCAACACTCTCACGTATCTTGAATTAAACATTCGATGCCTCCTGTCTTGTCGGCGTGCGCGCACCTCTTGCGTCGGGAATGCAAATGCAGAAACGTGGCCGATTCGCGTGTGCGTGCTTACACGTACGATCGAACACGCGTGTAACCGACTGGTCAAGAAGGGGAACGGGTGTTATCCTCGAGCGACGAATTAAAGGATATGCCGAAACCCGATTGAAAAACCACGATGCGCGCATTCGTGCGTGTATACCAGCCTCTTCTTTCCTCTTTCTTTTTCTCTCTCCGTATCTCGATTTCCTCCTTTCTCCGCTTTGACCGGCCGAAATTTCTGCTGCTTTCGGAGGCGTCGTCGTTTCTCGGGGATTTAAAGGCACGTGCGCGCTACACCGAAACCTTTCATCGGCAAGATTGCTCTTCTTATTGCAAGAGGTTCGAACGCGCATAAATTTCTCGGCATAATCTCGTAGCGGTGAACCCAAATGACGGACGGCGCACGAAAGACGCAGGAGAAGAAGCGGCGGTGTATGGTCTGGTCAGTCCGTTCGCGGAGCGGGAGCAATTATTGCAAGCCGGTAGGATGCGACATCGCGCGCGTGTTTGCACGTAATGTACGTCCTGTGACGCGAGGCCGCATCGACGTCACCTACGCGACGACCCCTCCGAGAAACAGCGAGCCATATTGCGCACGGTCTTGATATTTACGATTGAAACAAATCAAACGTTATCAAGCATTCCGGGCTGGTGATAAAGAACACAGAGGGGACGCGGAGGCATTTGCTGCTCCCAAGGGAGATGTCATCGGAAAATCTTCCTCCTGGCATCCCCAGTTAACGCGCCATCATATTTGCTCTGTATCCTATCGATCTTGCCCGTTCTCGGCGATTACATTTTTCGCCTCGACCACCCTTTCCCCTAATTCCTC